CCTATAGGGTCAAACGTGGACCACGACTGGCTCAGTGTGAGTCAGCTGTGCTTTCTGGCACCTTCGGAACGTGGACTTCAAGGCATCACAAGGTTCTTCTGTAGGTCTTATAGGGTTATCATCTTTGGTTTTTCTTTTTGGAACACACATTGCGTTGCTTTCTCCAAAATGCCTACAACCTCTAGCAAGTCCTTGCAGAATTACAAAATATCACATAATTTTGCCTCCTTTACCAGCTTCAGCTCCTCTGCAACAAGTTCTTGTATCTGCCAAGCCTCGCTGTTACTATTCCACAGGCTCTTTTAGTCGCTCTTCTAACGTGACCTTCTCTTCCAGGAGCATCTTCTCCATAGAGAAAGCATTTCTCTTCTGTTCCATTTCCAACCCATGTTCTCCCTTCCATTCGCGCCACTGTTCTTTTGTCTCGTAGCTGAGCACAACAGGAGAGGGCCTGAGAGGCGATGCCAAAGCTGGAGCCTGTCTTGCCAGCCTCACCCACCGAGTGAGTCATCATGGTTCAACTCCACAATGTTTTCAATTTTCTCTTACGGGGGCTCCTGGGTGGCTCAGTGGGTTAAGCCTCTGCCTTCAGCTCAGGTCATGATCTCAGGGTCCCAGGATCGAGCCCCGCATCGGGTTCTCTGCTCAGCAGGGAGCCTGCTCCCCCCTCTCTGCCTACTTGTGATCTCTTTAAAAAAATTTTTTTTTTCTCTTACATGTCACTGTATTCTATGTATGTTCTTATTTTATTCATTCACCACTTTCAACATAGTTAGCAACTCAACCTTTTATCTACTTTTAGTTCTTAAGATCTACAGACTGTACCAGCTCAGACGCTTTCCCATCGCTTATCCCCTCACTTCTCATCCTTTGTGCTCCTAATCCTGAAATTGTGTCCTGGGTTACTCCTCCATCCCTGTTCCCCAGTTTTCTTACCACGATTAAAGCCCATTTTGTTAATTAAAGTTTCTCTGTCTCGGACACATACTTCTGCTCTCTTAGCAGTAACTATATAGCAGCGAAAACTACTCCTCGCACATACATATGGTTTAGAATAGTGAGGACATTTTGAGGCACAGAAGGACATCTATCTCTCTGTTCATTCTGAGAAAGAGAACGCAAATGAAGATACAGCCACATTTTAAACCTTCTTCTCCTTTCTCAGGTTTAGAAAAACAGTTTTTCAAGAGAATTAATATGGGAGAAATTTTAAATTTATGTATATAATAGTATCAGAATTTTATAGAAAGAACGGCTGGCAAGAGAACAATGAAAATAGTAAACAGTCTTCCACCAGGTCTGACTGCTTCTGTAGTAAGGGGAAAAAGCACATCTGAATGGCTGCTAGTAAAGATGTCTTTTTTAAAAAATTGTACTGAGAGGGATGCGTGGGTGGTGCAGCTGGTTAAGCCTCCGACTCCTGGTTCTGGTTTCAGGTCATCATCTCAGGGTTGTGAGCCCCGTGTTGGGCTCTGGACCCAGCACAAAGTGTGCTTTGGTTTCTCTTTCCCTCTTTTTCTGCCCCTTCCCTTGCTCTCTTTCCCTCTCTCTCTAAAATAAATAAATCTTTTAAAAAACTGCACTGAGAAACCCACAAAATTCACTTATTAAAGAGCTTTAATTCAATATCCAGTAAATTAAAGGGCATGTGTTTTCAGGAAGTCGAGGGTAATACAAGCTATGCTTTCAGAATAGGGGAGACTGTTTCTAAAGGCTTTATTAATAATTAACAAGGGCAGGATTTAAACAATTTGAGCAGCAAAAGTATCTTTTTTATTTAATTGAAGTCTGTTTTGTGTGTGTTTTGAAAATGTTTTCATATAAATAAACCTGTGGGGAAAAAGGTCTTCACTTTTGGCAAGGATCTCATTAAGTTAAAAAAAAAACAAAACTAGGATTTTCTAGTTATGACAGAGAAGCTCAACATCTGGTTCAGTCTTTATAATATTTTAAATTACCTTGGGCACATAAGGCTTTGTCCAAATGACAAAAGAAACCTATACACCCTTCATTTCTTTGGTGACCATATACATCCTGGAACCTGTGGCTACTCTTAGGTCTATTTAAAGCTTTGTTCTTACAGTGAGATTCTTAAATTCTAGTTATTTTTGTAATGATAAGAAGTTTAAAAAAACTAAACCTTGCAAATTCTTCTTAGCTTCTTCTGCATATGCAACCCCCCATCAGCTATTTTCTCAGTAAAATTCAAATTCTTGCTAAGATGAGTTCTAAGAAAAGTGTTTGATAATAACAAATATAAATGAACTCTGTGTTAATGATGTAGCTGCCTATCCGATTTGCAATAAACACATCTCTTATTCTAAAGAACATGAAAATGAACTATAAGAAATACATATATTAATATTAAATAAGTAATAAGATAAATGGAAAAGGAAAAATGGCAAAATAAACGAGCTTCAGAAGACTCTTAGCAAACAACAGCATCTTTGGGACAGTGAGGCATTACACTGCATTAGTGAGTGCACTGGGCATGAATTATGCAGGATCCGAATGAGATTTCAGCCCAAAGAGATACCCTTTGGAATGAGGAAATTAAAAAAACAAAAAGGTCTGGCTACAGATAAGGTGTTTTATGACAAAGATAAAATGGCTGGGGAGAAAAACCCTAATCCTTTTAATGCTATTCTGTAAATAATTTGGTTTTCTAGACTTGATCCATATGTAGAAAAGGCCGCTCACCACTGGCATACACCAAGACTGGAGAAAACACGTGTGTAGTAGAAAAAGATATGGGCAAGACTGGCTCACTGTTGTGGACCTCAGAAATGCTGGGAAGACTACAACTGTGGGACATAGTAGAAAGAATTACTAGTTGGGGTGCCTGGGTGGCTCACTTGGTTAAGCAGCTGATTCTTGATTTCGGCTCAGGTCATGATCTCAGGTCCTGGGACCAAGCCCTGAGCTGGGCTCGCCGCCCAGAGTCTGCTTCCCTCCCTCTGCCCCTCCCCCTGTTTGTGCTCTCTCTGTAACTCTCCCAAATCAATGAATAAAATCTTTAAAAAAAACACCTACCAGTTAATGGCAATGTCACCAGAGTGGGTTCAAACATACAAGAATGAGTTTTCATATTGTGTAGGTCATTAGAGTAAGATGACTGGAAAGTCTACTTGGTGAGAATAACATTAAGTTAAGGTTTTTCGAGTCTTAAGTCTAAGCCAAAGTTAAGGTTTGGAGTTTCGGTGCACTGAGTACAGAGGGCACCTTCTACTAACACACACTTCATTACCTCACAGCAACCATCCCAAGCTGTACCCAGTCAAATTCTCTGAAGAAACTTAAATGATTAAGTGATCTGAAGCCAGTTAGTTAAGACTGGTTCATTCTGGTACAAGAATCATTTCATTTATTTGAAAAGACATGTAACCTGCAGCCAAAGGTAAAAGGGCTTCTCCAGGGACATTTCAGTTGAACAAACGCCTGTTCCTTATCAGGTGCGCACCAGGTGTGCGAGATACTGCACATGTGTGACGTAAGCCTGGGCCACTCAGCCAGCGCACACTCAGGGCTCGTGCAGACATGCAGAACAGGCTGCAAGATGGCCCTTCAGACGCAAGCAGTCTGAGGCCCGACCCAGCTCTCTGGTGTCAGTGACCCTGAAGACAGGCAAGATGGCATCTGCACCACCTAATTACCACTACACTTTCGTGCACTGATTCAGAAGTCAACTAATTATTACAGAACAAGAGCACAACATAGTCTGAGCAAAAGAAGAATGAATAAACTGGCTCGGAAGAGCCGATCAAGCATGCGGACCGGCCTCCGACGTCCAGCATCACCCAGCGTGCGCGCCCTATGTGCTGCAGCACAGGCCGACAGAGCACGATGTCCCAGGAACACCGTGCGGGCGGAAGGATAAAGAACCACAAAGCCTCAGCTCTTACCTCTGGTTAAAAACTCGAATTTGCAACCATATGAGCTCTGCTGTGTCCCTACTGAGAGAGTCTATCAGTGCTTCTAACTCAAGACATCAATGATCTGTGCTTTCTTTAAATGTTACTATCTGCTTACAAATACTTCGAGAAAGAAACGGGGAGGGGGTCTGCTTACTTATTCTCAGTGTAACTACACATCAAAAAACAAGCTTCTTTTCTCCTTTACTAACTGAATTTGGTATTTAAAAAATATTCTGGCAGAAGATGACCGCTTATCAGCCTAGTGATCCTGGCCACGCTGGAACACAGCCAAGCCGTTTATCACCTCGCTTTCTTTACTCTCTTTTTCTTCTCAAGACTCCCTCACTTCACAGAAGGGGCCTTTAGTGCTACTTCTGAGTTTCATGGGTGAAGAATGTTACAAACAAACTGATCATTGTTTCAAAACTGAGTCCCTTTACAAGTAGTCTTATGAATTACTGCAACTGAAATTACAGTTTAGAAACTACGGGTTAGGACACACATGTGGAAGGCACGCGTTCTAGTTCTGACACGGGCAGAATATGTAGCCGTGTAACCTTGACAAGTCACTTACCTTCTCTGGCTCTTACCTTCCCCATCTATAAAATAAAGGGATATCTGCTAAGGTCCCTTTCCACATCTAAGTTCTAGTTTTCCCTTCTCCACCTGAGCAGAGAGAGTATTTTGTATCAAAATACAAAACAAACAAAACCAAAACACCCTGACGTGAATGCTACTTGGTCTAACAACTGTTACTTAGAATTCAAGGTCTACTCCGCTCTTGGCCGTCTGTATTACTTGCAGGGTGACCGGTTAGGAAGGCTTATTACTAAAGTACACAATGTAAGTGGCTTCAATGTCAGACTTTCCGTGCAAAGATGACCCAAACACATTGACTTGCAGTGGAAAAGTACTAGCCTGGGAGCTGGGTTTTCACTTGGCTCAGTGACACTTCTTAGGTAAGTAACTTAACATCTCTGGGTCTTGATTTTTCCAGGTATAAAGTGACAAAGTTACACTAGATTGTCTCTAAGACCTTTCCTAAAACCAAAACTCTATGTTTCTAAGTGGTTACTCTCAACCTACCCTTTTGTAATGCATTGTTTCCAAAAACATCTTGGTCTGCTTATAGATTTCTTGGCCTGTCTTGTGGAAGGTCTTGAGAAATTCTATGAACTCTTTAGACACTCTATCCGTTTCAATGCTGGTTTGCCGGTTTATGGAAGGACTGGGAGCTTTTGCTTCCTGAATTTCTGCTGGGAAAATGAAACATAATGAGTTTCATTACACAGAAGATCCATGCATGGAATTACTTCATGTAACTTAAATTACTTAAATTATGCTTAATCAAAGTTAAACCTGAATTTAAATTACTTTATGTTTAAATATTTGGACAACTTCACTTAAAGTGAGCTAAATCTATTTTATGACTAGGACGTACAAGCAGATAAAACTATATAAAATTTCCATTCAAATAACAGTTGTTCTACTAATATTTTCTCAGCCAAAATACATCGTGCTTTGATCTACATACTTAATTGTAAATATGAAATAGCACTACTGTCTGGAACTTTCTCAAAGACTACGTAAGTTTACAAAGCTAGTCAGCAAATAACATAGCGATCAGTAGGACAAAAATGTTAATTACTTATGTCAACTCTTCCAAATCCATTCTACTTGTCAAACAGGCTAATCTGTTTACGTGGAGACTAACAATTATTTTCCCACCATTCAGTTTTCAAGTCAGACTGCTCGAGTGGACGGAAGCACCCAATGCAGCACGGTGATCACGACAGAACGTACAGCAAAGGAGGCAAGCAGAACAGACAAAACGTGTCTAATCAACTGGCACACAACTCCTTCATCTCTTCAAATTAGTACACTGAAAGGAAAATGGGACCTTTCCAGAACAAAGAGAAGAGGGTTGCCATAGAGTTCAGTGCTCCCAGGCAGCGTGAACTATCCCCTGATCTCTGACCACATTCTGAGCCTCCTGACTTTGAACTGCGCTAATTCAGCTAATTCAATAGCTGTAATGAAGTAAATTCCCTCATACCCCATGAAAACAAAATACCTTTCGAAGGTACCAAAATCAACTTATTACCTGCTTTCTCTGTGACTCTGTATAATTCCACTTTCTGAACTTTAGTACCTGGGATACATTTTAGTGACGCGGCCTCACCGAAGTTTTAAGAGAAGACTGGATTATTTAAGGGGCAGGTAGGGGCTCAGAGGGTGAAGCAGCTGCCCTCAGCTCAGGTCACGATCTGGGCTCCTGGGATCGAGCCCCACGTCAGGCTCCACCCTCAGTAGGGAGCCTGCTTGAGAATTCTCTCTCCCTCCTCCCTCTGTCCCTGCCCCGGCTCACATGTGCTCTCTAATAAATCAATCTTAAAAAAAAGAAAGAAGAAATCTAACAGTTCAACAGGAAAATGGGTAGAGAATACTAACTGCACAGAAAGGAAACATAAATGGACCTTAAATGTAGGAAACAAATTAAAACTACACGAGATGCCGTTTTTTTTTTTTTTTTTTTAAATTTTTATTTATTTATTTGACAGAGAGAGAGATCACAAGTAGACAGAGAGGCAGGCAGAGAGAAGGGAGAAGTGGGCCCCCCGCCGAGCAGAGAGCCCCATGCGGGGCTCGATCCCAGGACCCTGAGATCATGACCTGAGCCGAAGGCAGAGGCTTAACCCACTGAGCCACCCAGGCGCCCCAAGAGATGCCGTTTTAAAATTAATGAAGAGACAAAAATCTGATGCTGAGGATGGGGGAGTGCTCTCATACTGTGGAGGTGAGAATGTAAAATGATGTAACTGCAATGGAGAGCAATGTGGCAATAATCATCAAAATTAAAAATACATTTATCCTATGACCCAACAATTCCATTTCTTGGAAATTTCCTACTGATGTAACTGCACATGTACAAAATGAAATATGTACAAGGCCACTCATTTTAGCACTACTTGTAACAGCAGAAGACTAAAAATGTCACAGATATCTACCACTAAGGGACTAAATAAATTGTGGTTTAATCCACAAAATGGACCACTATATAGTTTTAAAATAAAGTATTTTTAATATACTAAGAAAAGTTCTTATACATAATGCTCAAATGAAAATAAAAAGGACAGTATGTGACTAAGAATACAGAGCACAGTACATGTAATAAAGATACACGTGTCTACAATGAAAACAAAAGCACATAAGGATACACAAGAAATTAATGACGAAGGTTGTCTACGGGGAGAGTGACGGCCGTAGTGGCTGGAAACTAGATGGGTAAGGGACCACACACCTTTTATTTTGGAGACATTTGAATGTACTACTTTTCTTTTTAAGCAAGTAAATAAATCGGGTACAATTTAACTTAAAACAAAAACTGGCGGGACGCCTGGGTGGCTCAGTTGGTTAAGCAGCTGCCTTCGGCTCAGGTCATGATCCCAGGGTCCTGGGATCGAGTCCCACATCGGGCTCCTTGCTTGGCGGGGAGCCTGCTTCTCCCTCTGCCTCTGCCTGCCATTCTGTCTGCCTGTGCTCGCTCTCTCTCTCTGACAAATAAATAAATAAAATCTTTAAAAAAAAAAACAAAAAAAAACAAAAAAACAAAAACTGGCAACATCCTTTCTGAAATATTTTTTGCCAATATGGAAAACCGAACACCCTTGTATGATTAGAAAAAGCTCTTTAATACTTAAGAGTTTAATCCCTCACTCAAACTACTAATTCCAATCTTAGTCACGATGGAGTAACAGGGAATTGGGTTTACCCTACAGCCTTAACAAATGGAACATCAGAAAAAATATATGAAATAGTGGTTTTTAGACACTGCTCAAGAGGCAGATGAGAGAGTAACTCATGAGAGAGGTCGACAGATATGTTAAGTCTTACAAGTACCCCAGCTCACTGCAGGGAGAATTTTTAGCCCATGGCACAGGGGGAGACAAGGCAACTCAAACAGAGTCTAGCAGACCACTGAATTGGGGAAAGAGCATTTAGAGCTAAGGGAGGCCAAAGTCCCTAGAAACTGCACGGCAAAATGAGAGGATGGGGCTGCACAGAAAAAATTCCAGATAACCACACAGGGGGTTCCCTCAAGTCTTCGACTGAGCACTGCGTGTGCAAATTAGAAAACTACCAATGACTGCATACGGAAGCAGGCAGAACAATCCCCAGGGCAGACATGACTGGGAATAATTCATGTCCCAGCAGCCAGGAACAAAGAACATCAGCAATGGCAAGATATAAAAAACATTTTCTCATTTAAAAAAATTTTTAGGGGCACCTGGGTGGCTCAGTGGGTTAAGCCTCTGCTTTTGGCTCAGGTCATGATCTCAGGGTCCTGGGATTGAGCCCCGCATCGGGCTCTCTGCTCAGCAGGGAGCCTGCTTCCTCCTCTCTCTCTGCCTGCCTCTCTGCCTACTTATGATCTCTGTCTGTCAAATAAATAAATCCTTAAAAAAATTTTTTTGATGACAACTGTTTAAAACTAAAGTAATAATAATAGATAGTGGGATTTGTATCACATGTGTAAGTAAAATCTACGACAACAACAGCACAAAGGAAGGGAAGAAGAAATCCAAGAATACTATTAGTAAGGGTCTTGTCTTATATGTAAACTGGGATAACACCATCTGAAGGCAGAGTAGTTAAAAGGTATTTTTTACACCTCAAAACAGCCACTTTAAAAAGAAAGGAAGAAAGAGAGAGAGAGAAAAAGAGATACAGCTAATAAGCCAATAGGAAAATAAAGATGTAATCATAAAAAACAATCTACAAAAACAAATAAATAAAAGGGTAGGAAAAGAGGAGATAACTAAGTCCAGATGGGACAAATAGAAGACAGAGAGCAAGATGGTAAGATTCCACACCATGTTATCAAAAATTTTACTAATGTAAGTAGCCTGAATAAGCCATGATCCCTATATAACTTGTCTATAAGAAATCCACTTAAAAAAAAAAAAAGAAATCCAGTTTAAATATAAAGACACGGATATATTAAAAACTAATGAAATAAAAAAGATGTACCATCCAAATAAACAAAAAGAGCTTAAGTGGTTTTATCAATACTGGACAAAGTAAATTTCCAAGCATGGAATATTACCAAGGATAAACGGGTTTATCTGTAGGTCAGCCAACGGTAGGGGAACATTAGCCATCCCCTTACTGCTTTGCTTGTGTATACGCTCCCCTCCAACAAACACTTCTCTTCAAAGACAGATAATTTTGATATTTAGAAAGCCCTTCAAAATGTAAATGAAAATAAAATATAAGTGAAGATGTTCTGTATGATACCATCATGGCAGATACATGTCATTATACATTGTCCAAACCCACAAAATACACACCACCACGAGTGAATCAACCCTAACGGAAACTACAGACTATGGATGATGGCGACGTGTCGATGCAGGCTCATGAGTTGTAGCACAAAACTTCCCATTCTGGGGCAGAATGCTGGTAACGGGAGAGGCTGTGCGTGTGTGGGGACGAGGGATATATGGGAGATCTCTGGACCCTCCTCTCAATTTTACTGTGAATCTAAAACTGCTCTTAAAAAAATTAAAATCTTAGGGGCACCTGGGTGGTTCAGCTGGTTGAGCATGGGACTCCTGCTTCCGCTCAGGTCATGATCTCAGGGTCCTGGGATCAAGGCCTGTGTCAGGCTCTGTGCTCAGCACAATCTGCTAGTAGCACTCCTGCTTGTCCCTCTACCTCCTTTTCTGCTCCCCCCTGGGCATGCACTCTCACTCTCTCAATTAAGTAGAATCTTTAAAAAAATTAAAATCTTAAAATACAAAAGAAAAAATAAATCAATTCTGCTCACTAGTATTAATTAGTACAAATTATTAAAATTAACACTTGGTTGTTTCTCTCTGATCTTCCTAAAAACCAGCTCCCCAGTAACAGAACAGAAGTTCCAAGTTTGGATTATGGAGTGGAAACTGAGAGAGCCAGAGTTCAGGTACAGAGGAAGGTGATGAGGCCCAGTGGGTATTCAGAAGGGAAGACAGAAAGGAATAACTTTTCCTATATCACATTTTGGCAAGGATCCAGATGGCTTGCATTACAACTTCTAATCTTAAGGTTTTATTTATTTATTTTAAAGATTTTATTTATTTATTTGTCAGAGAGAGAGAGAGTACACAAGCAGGCTGAGTGGCAGGCAGAGGCAGAGAGAGAAGCAGGCTCCCCACTGAGCAAGAAGACTGATGCAGGACTCGATCCCAGGATTCTGGGATCATGATCTGAG